CACAGCTCTCTCTCTCTCTCTCTCTCTCTATATATATATATATATATATATAGTCACGGTTATATCTTTTAATGTATCAATCAATCTGTAAAACTCAAACGTTATAGTATAAGATTGGTCACATGCTTATTGAGATAGACTGTACAAGTCACCAATGTGATTGGTTAAGTATTTATTGACGTAAACCATACAAGTCAGGAATGTGATTCGTTAAATGTTTAATGACGTAACCATACAAGCCAGGAATGTGATAGGTTAAATGTTTAATGACGTAACCATACAAGTCATGTATGTGATTGGTTAAATGATTATTGTTGTAGACCATAATATACTGTGTTGGTGAAACATAACTTTAATATTTTAAATAATTATATTACTTAGCTCATTTTCAACTAGGTGAGTCTAGTTATGATAATTAGGTAGACACTCGAGGATTTTAAGACCATAAATTGTCGTCAAGGAAACCTATAGGTAAATATTCTTAAACGGAATAATACTGAGATGTACGTAAAACGTAAATAACCATCAGTAGTAATTGTCCATTATAATAATTACAGTTCACATGAATACCTGTAAAGGCATTTCAGTACGTTAAAACTTCATTGAACTACGGTAATAATGGATCAGCATATTCATTGTTGATCACATAAATATCTGTAAAGGCATTTCAGTACGTTCAAACTTCAATAAACATAGTTATTAATGGGTCATTATGGTCATTACTGACCACATAAATACTTCTAAAACATTTCACTATGGACGGTATAAATATATATTTCTCCATGTCCCTACAAATCTTAGGCTATGTCATCAAAACGCTAGGGTTGGTCTAACTTCGATCGATTTGGGGGCACATCTGCTGTTACACAATCGGTAGCGAAATGATTCACACTGCTACAAGTGTTACATCACCTTTGGTGCTACAGTGTTCTTAATGAGCAGCTTGAGATGATTAGGTGAAATATTTCTGCAGAATATAACAAAAACTCCACCATAAGGAGTTGATACCCCGAATCATTTGGGGCCAGTGAATGTCTCATTCAGGGAGTGTTGACGAAACCCACGATATCCACCCACAGATGGTGTTCCACTCACACCAGAGTAGATTATCACCGGGGGATGTTTGAAACCAGAATATGATGTCTGTGTATCTGTATATTTTCAGCGTTCTTTGCCATGTATGATTGAGCACACAACAACGATGACACAAGTTTACACCAAACACATATAATTATTTGTTTTTCAACAACTATTTGTGGCTCTGCATCTAGCTTGCAGCACTTTTACCAAAACCTTACCTTTTTTACTGGCTTAAACATCAAGTCGGACAGATTATGGTGGAGTTCCGCATCAGCTAGGTCCTTATAAGTTGGTGAGTAATCTAGTTCACTGATGTCTAAGTTCAATAAATTTAACTCGTCCCGAGAAAAAACGTTGTCTGAATGTCGAATAGGCTCATCAGAACAACTGGTCAAAAAAGTATCATCTTTAGGCCAAGTTAGAGTTGTAGAATATAGTTTACTGAATTTTTGAGACTATAATACAAATGGAAATAGCATTTTTAGAAAAATATTATATTATGTTACACCATGGGACTACTTGTCTCCAGGGTATGTATTAGAGTCTAATATGTTAGTAGGTGCAACAAATAATAAATCACTCTAGAAAAACAAAAGACAATTTAACATTGATCTAAAAATTCTTGGAAACTGTAACCATTTTGAAAACGTGGAAAACCTAGTAATCACAAACACATAGACATATTTGTATTAATGATCTTTTGATAAATGCTATTTAAAGACCAATCTACAAATAAAAACGACAGATTTTTGTATCTAACTCACAGAATAGTAACTGCCATCTCCACAATTTCAAGTGTTAGTTAATTGGGAAATTAAATATTGTATTTGGAAAGATAAAGAAAACAAAATAATCTCAATAGCTAAAAGTCCCGAGGAATAAATTATAAAGGTACCTTATATCAGAACATACTGCTGTGAAAAATTTCAAAGGTTCCATTTCATTTTTTAGGTACTTACATCAAAGCAAATAATTGCGTACAATATCAATTGTTAATGTTAATTTCTTAGGTACTTATATCAGAAAAAACTACTGCGAACTATTTCAGATGTTGATGTTCATTTTCTAGGTACTTATATTAGAGCAAATAACTGTGTACAATTTCAATTGTTAATGTTCATTTTTAAGTACTTTATACCAGAACATACTGCTGCGAACAGTTTCAAAGGTTCATGTTACTTTTTTAGGTACTTATATCAGAAAAAACTACTGCGAACAGTTTCAAATGTTGATGTTCATATTTTTATTTTAGACCTTTGCTTTTGTCTTTATTTCTCCAGAACATACTAGTTGCCAACTTACTTTCCAAGGTTATTCTGTATATATGTTCTAATTAAAGATGCCAAGGAAATACTCGGGTCTTTGCCTCTAACATTAACATTCTGACTCACGAGGTTTATCGCATCTGCCAGATTCAGTTTGGAATACGTCTCGAAGATCTTCGGCTCTCTGACTTGATGATTACGTGTGAGGAGTGGTCGGATAAATTTGTTGTTATGATATTTAAACCTAGTAAGAATGCACATATATGCAGTAAAAAGTTATATTCTCAAAGAAAAATACGTTTACCAAATAAAAACGAACATATCTATTAAAAAAGAGTATACCCAGTTTTAAAAAAAGAATTATACAGCTAGTAACAAATTTTAGTAAGAAATAGATGTTGCATTTAAATTGTTTGCAAACGATTATTTTTCTAATAAGCTATACAATTCATTATCAAATAATTTAAAGACTTTATTAATTTCAAAATTATTGTAGCCATTACATAAAGTTTATTTTAATAGCTTTATATTAGACGTGAAGAAAGTGCTTTTATTAGAGATCGTTAAATATCTTTTAATTTGTGATATTATCATATCTTTTAACATTATATGTGACACCACACTATTTGGGAGAGAGAGCAGTCCCGAAATGGGAAATTTAACTTCTCATATTTTATCACTTTATATTCTCAAGAGTTAATATCTAAATCTAAAAACTGCGTTAACCTGAAACTTTATTTTTAGAGGACTCTAGTACACCAAATCTTAATACAATAACTAACGGTATTTATAATGGAGTTTTCAGTATATCTGACTCAAGAAGGTTTAACTTCAGGTAACTAGGCCTATCTCAGTTTACCCAGGTTTGCTTGGAATATTAGGATTTTGTTAAAAGGTACCAGAACTATAGAGGTCGGTTTATAATTTTTAACATCACATATATTATGACATCACTATAACTATACCTTCACGTATTATTAGAAGTATAACTGCTAGAAGTATATTTATATCATATTGTTTTAATAGACGTGAGAGAAGAAGAAGGCTGTATTAATATTACTATTTGAACTATAGAGAAGAGCTATATAGTTCTTACTTTAATATCAGATAGTAATTAGACAAAGGTGAAGGCTGGGTGATATTCTTCGATAGAAATAAAGGGTGATGTGTGATATCAGTTTTCTATTTTAATTATTTTGAAGGATAGAAGTTGAGTCATATTTTGTGATAGAAATTGAGGGTGATTGATGATATCAGATTTCTATTATTATGAACTTAAGGGTAACTATCATGCCCACCACCGAATATAGACGTAAGTGGTAGTGGGATCTGGTACATCGTGGGTTCTAGCACCCCTTATTGAATCTGTAGCCTGCTTTCTAGTTTTGCACCTGTTGTTTTGATAGATGGAATATCCTCAGTGATTTTGGGTGATATGGCCACAGACATTTTCACTTTAAAACGATACTATTTATACTTTTGTATAAACGATGTAATTTTACATTGTTTTGTTACAATTTTGCTGTCGTGATTATGTATTTGTTGGAGCGTACGTCTGTAATCAAAAATATTGTATCTTTACATAGTTATCTCGTCAGGGCTCTGCAGTGCTGGGTAATCGTTGTACGCCTTTGCTGTAATACAGATAATTGTGAAGTACATAAATAGATGCATGCAGAATTGATGATTTGGTGCTAATTTATCGCCCTTATCTAACCTTTTCGTTTTCATATTTCTACTTTTTCGTTGACATTGATTTGTCTACTGGTACGTAGAATAGAAGGCTATTTACCGGATAAATTTATCAACTACTTTAAAAAACTGAGAAAACAGTATTTGTAATAAAGTTAAATTCTTAACTTGTTCGCAGCAACAGATTATCAATATTATCTTGACAATATACCAGTATGTAAAGTAAATGACCTAATGCACCTATTAACATGTGGTCTTAAATATGTAGGACAAACTACAAATCCTTTATACCTGAGTAATAATTTGCATAAATCGTAAAATTACTGTCTTAGAAGAGGTTTATAGTATTGATTTACCCACAAAAAAAAATTATATGAAAAGAAAGGACTCTTTACCTATATGGTTTAGACCAGTAATTTCAAAATCAAAACAGCTGAATCTTTAAGTAAGAATAATTGCTTTTGACGATTGTTTTATACTGATGTCCAAAACAAGAAAAGAGGCAGAAAACGAAGGAAAGGTAAACAATATTTAGATTCCGTGACAATAGTAAGAAAGTAAATATAGAAAAATCGTTTATTATCATAGATTGTAAGCATAAAGTGTATGATGATATTTTTTTGCCTTCAATTATTCTTAAAAGTGTTTAAGATAAAATATCTAATATAAAAGAATTACAACCAAATGTTAGTTTCAGACATAAAGAACTAATAGGCTCTTTAATTTTTAATTATAAACAATTTATCGAAACTTATTCGACAATATACTGATAATTTACCTTACGAATGTAATATTAATAATGTTACGGATTCTTTTCATAAGCATATTACTACTGGTAATCTGAATGTGATCAAATATATTGATCTTATAAATATATTCAAAAAAAGGAACTAAATTCAGAATTTTGAATAAAATAAAAAGGCTGAACTCTTACAAATTATTGATGAATATATTATTGAAATTAATAAATGTTTTTATCCCCTACGGTTCGTCTTTGAATGGGAAATATTTATTATAAACATCATAAGAAGAAAATTATATTACTTATATTTATCTAATAACATTACAGATATTCCTCTTTTTTTTTACTTTAAAAGAAAAATTATAGAAATTCAAAAAACTATTTGTGATTATCCCAATTGATAAAACTAGCAGCAACTTTAGATTTATATGGAAAAAATGTTATGCACAGATTATAATAAATAAAATTAATACTACAGAAACGCTTACTAACTTTACATTAAAAAAAATACAATTATTAATAACTTTCTGAAAAATATAAAAAGGAATATATCTGTTGATTATAATTTTTTACATTTACCTTTCTTATACGCAATTCTTAAATTACAAACAACACCAGTTAAGTTCAGATTTAGTGCTAATCATGAAACACTATTACCGAACTGGTACCTATCATATTAGATAAAATCTTAAATTTTTTCTTTCTAAAATAAAATGAAAATATCGAAATATTTCGAAACATGCATTTTGGATAATAAAAAACAATATAGAAGTATTGAAAAGTTTAGAATCTAATTTTTTTTGTATCCAGCCTTCTTGTTTTAACATATTTCACTACTTTATATACTAAATTGAAGTTAAAAGATATAATAAAAGTCTTCAATAACTGAATGTATAGATGGAAACCTAAGTTTGTTTGTTTTTAAATATACATTTTCAAGTATTTAATGCAAAAATCTTAGTAATTTTTGTATAAATATA